TTAAAATCCTCTCAAGAAGTTCTGGGACACGGGAATTATTTATATGAATATCTTCCTCTTTGGGAAGGATGACTGTAAATGTCAAATCTAAACAAAATGAAAGAACAAAAACTATAGGATCCTTGGACACTGTATAGTTTGCAACTGCAAAAAGCAAGCAGTAGGACCCAAGTGCATTTGTTTGTTGATACTAATGAAAGCTTCCATTTCCTTCTTTGTTTGTAGATCAGCATCTTCATGACCCACTTGTCCAATTATGGCAATGACCGGCTTGGGCTCTACACTTTTGAAAGTCTTGTCAAATTTGTGCAATGCTGGACCAATCTTCGTCTCCAGACTTTGCCTCCCATCCAGTTGGCCAAAAAGTATTTTGAAATATTTTCAGAGGAAAAGAACCCTCTGTGGCAGGTGAGGAAGCATTTGGAGAGGGGGGGGGCATTTTCCAACAATGTCTAAGATAGGCTCCCATTGATTCAGTTCATTTGATTTTCCTTTTGATTCTTTTGGAATTAACTGGGAATATGGGAAGTTATGGCTGTTTCTGGACATTGGAAACTTTATTTTTGGGAGAAGGTTGGCATTTTTGAATTGACTCTGAATCCATTTTCAGCTTGTACCTTCACTGTACAGGCAAGGTGAGTCATTGGTGAATCCAACAAATTTCTTAATGGCCGGTCCTTTAGCGCTGTTTTCACTGTTGGGTAATCTAGGTCCAGACCCCCAACTGAGGCTGTCATTTTGAAAAGAAAATGATATTCGTAAGTAGGTCTCAGGGCTGTACAATTGGAAACTGCTGTGACACAAACATCGGGGACAGCTCTCCTTTGACAAGCCAGTTTTAGTGACAAATAAAAACAAAGTCAACAGACACCCTCACCACATATTTGACCTTCCTCTTAGCCAGAAAGATAACCTTAAAACCAGTTTTTGTTTTCCTTCATGTACCAGTCCAGATTATATATTAACCTGTAAATGCATCATGGTATCTGTATCCGTGCTTGAAAGAGGAACGTGGAGATGATTATTAGCATCCCTATTTAACTACCTTAAGACATTCAGCTGGAGACTTCCCCTGGGTGGGCAATATTTCAGAGACGTCCAGCTTGGAATCTCCCTCTGATAATATGCAATTAAGCAGTCCTTTGGTAGAATAGATAATAAAGGAATTGGATTGTTTGAATATCAGTTGGTCCCATAAACTGGCTATAAACGTTATGCTATGCTAAGAATCCAGCTAGACCAACCTTGAACGAAGATAATTTCACCTGCCTTAGCTATTTCAAATTCTTGAAATACTACCAGATTATCATCCCCTCTCCTCCAAATCATAGAATATAAGAGAGAGTATACAGCAGGATACCTAATGAGAAGGAAGGACTCACTGGAGAAGGGCCTAACGCTGGGAAAGATTGAGGGCAATAGAAGAAGGGGACAACAGAGAATGAGGGGGCTGGATGGAGTCCCTGAAGCAGTAGGCGTGAGCTTAAATGGACTCCAGAAGATGGTAGAGGACAGGAAGGCCTGGAGGAACGTTGTCCATGGGGTCGCGATGGGTCAGACACGACTTCACAACTAACAACAAATGCAGCAGGATGAACAAGTGGTCTATTGTTGAATGCTAACCCTTAAAATTTCCTGCTGCTCAACCAATTCCCCCCCCCCCCCAAAAAAAAAATATCCAAAATTGGAACCCACAATTTCTTATTCTATCTTTTGGAACATCTCTGAATGACCTTCAGAGTTGAAGATAGCGATCAGGTGTTCTCCAAACTAAAGATGCCCATAGCACCAACTGTTCCTCACAATCTTTTTTCTTTGCAAGCCCTTTGTCATCTTGGTGGCTCTCATCTGAACGTGCTCCAATATTGATGTGCTTCCTAAAATGTGCCGCTCAAAACCAAGAACGTGCTAGAATCATGTGACCGACGCAAAAAAAAATTGGAAAAATAACTTCTCTTGAAATTTCCTATTTAGGAAAAGAGCAAAATCGAGCAAACAAAATTTCAAAAATAAGCGCCGACTTCCAAAAATAAACTTTGCAAAAATACTTTGTGTTTTGATGTATTAAATGTTTTCATAACGTTATGAAAAAAATGTAGTGTGAATGAACGGCTTTGCTGCAAGACTCTTGTAGACCAGTCATCCGGTATCATAGTAGTACATTCTGAATGGTAAAATGCATCTTAGATGGGGACCTTCTTATACAGTTTATTTACCTAATGTACATGAAGTCATGTATTTCCTACATGGTCTCACATTTGATGTCTTTCTTGATACAGAACCCTTGTGATGACAAGCGCCATAAGGATATCTGGTCAAAAGAGAAGACATGTGACCGGCTTCCCAAGTTCCTTATTATTGGTCCTCAAAAAACTGGTAACGTTTATTCCCCAATGGCATTTTTCATCTTGCTTAACAATTTGACATTCGTTATTGTGTGTAATAGCATTCTGTGGAAATACCATGCTAACAAATAATTTTAAAAAATAGATAGAAATCCTATACTCCTTGCCAAAACAACTCTTGAATTATTTTCTAGAACCCTTAGAGATCCTATCCTTAAGATTACCATACTGAAATTTGGCCACAAAATACATACAGTAGTGGCCAAAATTGTGGAAACCTTTTGGGAAAAGTGTACAATAGAAACGCCACCTTTAGTTAAGTTTCCACTAATTTTTCTTCTAATTTCTTTATAACTGTAGCCTTGTTCACTTAATAATACTATTTTACATCACTTTCTGGCCAACCAGTCAACTCTTTGCACCATGACTTTAATTTTATTACGTTTTACAAGCTCAGTAAATGAAAGAACACAAAAAAACCCAACCGACTTGGTACCGATCACATAACACACTGACCAATGTCCTCCTCTCAGCTTCAATACAGGACATCAATCACTGAATCCTACTATGATCTGATTGGCTCATTGCCAAAACAAGATGACATCCGATTGGCTCTCTAAACACTCATGCTCATTGGCTACAATCAGATGAAGGAAAGCTCCCTGAGATCAACTTGAGCAAGTTGTGCTTCCTTTTTCTGGTTATTTGGCTATAACGTTTCATAGAATATAGTACAGATAATTGAACAAACTATGTTGCATTACATTCTTGATTAAATTATCTTTCCATTGATATATAATTTTATGGCACTACTCCAAAAAAAAGTGGTGTTATTAGCCATTCAAGCCTCAAAAATACACTTTTTCCAAAAGGTTTCCACAATTTTGGCCACTACTGTAGAATAATAATGGTGAGATTTCCCATCAGTTTTCAGCAACAAGCTAAGAAATTAGTGGGGATATGCATAGACCAATTTCTTGATAAGAATTGCCAGATAGATGTTGTAGGACAGTGGTGGCGAACCTATGGCACGCGTGCCAGAGGCGGCACTCAGAGCCCTCTCTGTGGGCACGCATGCCGTGCCCCGGAGATAGCGAGGGACTGGCCCCCACCACCCTGGCCCCGCCCACCCAGTCTGCCATGACCACTGCGGCCACGCCCACCCGGCACCCGGTGATAAATAAGTGGGTTTTGGGTTGCGGTTTGGGCACTGGGTCTCTAAAAGGTTCGCCATCACTGTTGTAGGAGGTTTAAACTGTAAACCAGTATTCTTCGCCACTCCAGTATATTGGAGAAGTGAGAAGAAATACAAGTTGTCCTTGACTTACAATGATTTATTTAGTGACTGTTCAAAGTTATAGTAGCACTGAAAAAAGTGACTTAGGATCAGTTCTCACGACTGTTGCAGCCTCCCCATGGTCACATGATCAAAATTTGGACACGTGGCATCTGGCATATATTTATGACAGTCGTACTGTCCTGAGGCTATGTGGATCATCATTTGTAATCTCAGCTGGCTTCCAATAAGCAAAATCAACGGGGGAAGCCAGATTTGCATAACGACTGCAGGATTCACTTAACAACTGCAGTAATTCACAACTGTGGCAAAAAAAGATCATAAAATGGAGTGCAACTCACTTAACAACTGCTTGCTTAGGACTGGAAATTTGGGGTTCAGTTGATACCGTCAGTCAAGGTCTGTATTTGAAACCGGCAGTTATTGGTAGCTGAAGTAAACCCAACATAGCCTTGATGAAGCTTTTGTTTGCCTCTTATTTCTCTGTTGCAGGCACAACCGCTGTGCATTTCTTTCTCTCCATGCACCCAGCTGTGACTAGCAATTTCCCAAGCCCGTCCACCTTTGAAGAGATCCAGTTCTTTAACGGACCCAATTATCACAAAGGAATTGATTGGTATGTGGTTGGATTCCTGTTGAACTGCCTCCAAGAGCCTCTGGATTCTGCCTAGCTTGGACTTTCTAACCCTGGTCAAAAAGCTAGGCCAGTGATGGAGAACCTTTTAGAGACTGAGTGCCCAAACTGCAACTCAAAACCCACTTATGCATCGTTGAGTGCCGGGTGGGTGTGGCCCATTGGATGGGTGTGGCCCATTGGGTGGGCGTGGCTGCGGTGGTAATGGCAGACTGGGTGGGACTAAAAAGTTAAATCAATCAATCAATTCCAACTTTGCAAGATCTTTTTTTTGCCGCAAGAAGTTGAAATTGATTGACTGAACTTTTTTTTTTTTTTCACATGGCGGCAGAGGCCTAAAGGGAAAAGGTTTTATAAAACCCAGCTGAAGGCCTAGGACTGGGGCGACGGCGCACGTGCCCACAGAGAGGGCTCTGAGTGCCGCCTCTGGCACCCATGCCATAGGTTCGCCACCACTGAGCTAGGTCAAGGTTCCCTGCACCCTGTTGCATTGCCATGGTTCTCCCTCGTACTAGCAGCTTATTCTTATTCTTGTTCCAGCTTTCAGCCAGTTGTACAAAAGAATGTTAACTTCAAGTGTTATATAACACTGCTAACTTTTAATTAGTCCAAGACCTGCTTGTGTTGATCACTGGTTTCCCTTCATCATTTCTTTTTAAAAATAATAATAATAATAATAATTTTATTAAACTTTTATTAAATGAAAATGAAAATGAAAATAGTGGGGAAATGGTGAAAGGAAAAGAGAAAAGAAAGAAGTGTAGGGGAAAAGGATGGAAAGAATGCCTTGATTTCTGATTCTTTTTATTGCAGTAGAATAAAATAATAACGTTGAATCCCCAGCTTTTTGCTCTGACATATTTAATATGTCCTAGCCATTTCTGTAACCACAAATTTATCTAATCAGTAAAGTTTCATTTTTTTTTCCCATCTCAAGCACAAAAATTCAGAAGTGGCTTCCAAGTACAGAGAAAGTTGGATTGTATTCTTTTCTTCGATTAGAGCAGTTAATTTAGCCAGCCGCGTTTATCGTGTCATAAATCAATGACTAGATCGGTGTTTTTCAACCTGGATGACTTTAAGATGGGTGGATTTCAACTCCCAGAATTCCCCAGCCAAGTTGAGAAACACTGGACCAGACAAGGATGGTATTTGTGTCATTGTCGTTCCCCATAAGACAGACTTCATTGCATCCCAGGTTGAGTAAGAACATGGCATATCCAGCGCAAGGGAGGCCAGAGACTCCTGCCAGAAAGATGCAGATATAATAATAATAATAATAATAATAATTAATAATAATTAATAATAATAATAAAAAAGTTGGAAGGGACCTTGGAGGTCATCTAGTCCAACCCCCTGCTCAGGCAGGAAACCCTATACCATTTCGGACAAATGGCTGTCCAGTCTCTTCTTAAAAACTTCCAGTGTTGGAGCATTCACCACTTCTGGAGGCAGGTTGTTCCACTGGTTAATTGTTTTCACTGTCAGGAAGTTTCTCCTTAGTTCCAGGTTGCTTCTCTCCTTCATTGGTTTCCATCTGTTGCTTCTTGTCCTGCCTTCAGGTGCTTTGGAGAATAGCTTGACTCCCTCTTCTTTGGGGCAGCCCCTGAGATATTGGAACACTGCTATCATGTCCCCCCTCATCCTTCTCTTCATTAAACTAGACATACCCAATTCCAGTAGCCGTTCCTTATATGCTTTAGCCTCCAGTCCCCTAATCATCTTTGTTGCTCTTCTCTGCACTCTTTCTAGAGTCACAACATCTTTTTTACATTGTGGTGACCAAAACTGGATGCAGTATTCCAAGTGTGGCCTTACTAAGGCCTTGTAAAGTGGTATTAACCCTTCACGTGATCTTGATTCTATCCCTCTGTTAATGCAGCCCAGCACTGTGTTGGCCTTTTTGGCAGCTGCAGCACACGGCTGGCTCACATTTAAGTGATTGTCCACCAGGACTCCGAGGTCCCTCTCACAATTAACTACAGCATTGCTCTCTAGAGGTGCATTGAATTTGAGAATTATCAGTTATGTCAGGGGCTTTTTAAATCTTCCATCCATTCATCCCTAAGTCTGTTAGGCACTAACAAGCTTCTTACGTATAATAAGAAACCAGGAATTGCTCAATTCCATCATTATTATTTCCTTATATATATATTTTTTCCTCATTTGCTCAACTTGACAGGTACATGGAATTCTTCCCCATCCCTTCTAATGCCAGCACAGACTTCATGTTTGAGAAAAGTGCCAATTACTTCGATACCGGGGTGGTCCCCAAACGAAGTGCAGCCCTTCTTCCACAGGCCAAAATCATTGCTGTCCTCATCAACCCCGCTGACCGAGCCTACTCTTGGTATCAGGTAACTGCACAGGCGAACATTCACACATTGGCTGCCTTTTGAATTGGGGAGAAGCAGTTTCATGCTCCTAATTCACTTTTTCACCCTTGCAGCACCAACGTGCTCACAGTGACCCTGTGGCACTTAACTACACCTTTTACCAGACCATTTCTGCTGGANTTAAAATCCTCTCAAGAAGTTCTGGGACACGGGAATTATTTATATGAATATCTTCCTCTTTGGGAAGGATGACTGTAAATGTCAAATCTAAACAAAATGAAAGAACAAAAACTATAGGATCCTTGGACACTGTATAGTTTGCAACTGCAAAAAGCAAGCAGTAGGACCCAAGTGCATTTGTTTGTTGATACTAATGAAAACTTCCATTTCCTTCCTTGTTTGTAGATCAGCATCTTCATGACCCACTTGTCCAATTATGGCAATGACCGGCTTGGGCTCTACACTTTTGAAAGTCTTGTCAAATTTGTGCAATGCTGGACCAATCTTCGTCTCCAGACTTTGCCTCCCATCCAGTTGGCCAAAAAGTATTTTGAAATATTTTCAGAGGAAAAGAACCCTCTGTGGCAGGTGAGGAAGCATTTGGAGAGGGGGGGGGGCATTTCCCAACAATGTCTAAGATAGGCTCCCATTGATTCAGTTCATTTGATTTTCCTTTTGATTCTTTTGGAATTAACTGGGAATATGGGAAGTTATGGCTGTTTCTGGACATTGGAAACTTTATTTTTGGGAGAAGGTTGGCATTTTTGAATTGACTCTGAATCCATTTTCAGCTTGTACCTTCACTGTACAGGCAAGGTGAGTCATTGGTGAATCCAACAAATTTCTTAATGGCCGGTCCTTTAGCGCTGTTTTCACTGTTGGGTAATCTAGGTCCAGACCCCCAACTGAGGCTGTCATTTTGAAAAGAAAATGATATTCATAAGTAGGTCTCAGGGCTGTACAATTGGAAACTGCTGTGACACAAACATCGGGGACAGCTCTCCTTTGACAAGCCAGTTTTAGTGACAAATAAAAACAAAGTCAACAGACAGCCTCACCACATATTTGACCTTCCTCTTAGCCAGAAAGATAACCTTAAAACCAGTTTTTGTTTTCCTTCATGTACCAGTCCAGATTATACATTAACCTGTAAATGCATCATGGCATCTGTATCCGTCCTTGAAAGAGGAACGTGGAGATGATTATTAGCATCCCTGTTTAACTATCTTAAGACATTCAGCTGGAGACTTCCCCTGGGTGGGCAATATTTCAGAGACGTCCAGCTTGGAATCTCCCTCTGATAATATGCAATTAAGCAGTCCTTTGGTAGAATAGATAATAAAGGAATTGGATTGTTTGAATATCAGTTGGTCCCATAAATTGGCTATAAAAGTTATGCTATGCTAAGAATCCAGCTAGACCAACCTTGAACGAAGATAATTTCACCTGCCTTAGCTATTTCAAATTCTTGCAATACTATCAGATTATCATCCCCTCTCCTCCAAATCATAGAATATAAGAGAGAGTATACAGCAGGATATCTAATGAGAAGGAAGGACTCACTGGAGAAGAGCCTAATGCTGGGAAAGATGGAGGGCAATAGAAGAAGGGGACGACAGAGAATGAGGTGGCTGGATGGAGTCACTGAAGCAGTAGGCGTGAGCTTAAATGGACTCCAGAAGATGGTAGAGGACAGGAAGGCCTGGAGGAACGTTGTCCATGGGGGCGTGACTTCACAACTAACACGACTTCGCAACTAACAACAACAAATACAGCAGGATGAATAAATGGTCTATTGTTGAATTCTAACCCTTAAAATTTCCTGCTGCTCAACCAATTCCCCCCCCCCAAAAAAAATATCCAAAATTGGAACCCACAATTTCTTATTCCATCTTTTGGAACATCTCTGAATGACCTTCAGAGTTGAAGATAGCGATCAGGTGTTCTCCAAACTAAAGATGCCCATAGCACCAACTGTTCCTCACAATCTTTTTTCTATGCAAGCCCTTTGTCATCTTGGTGGCTCTCATCTGAACGTGCTCCAATATCGGTGTGCTTCCTAAAACGTGCCGCTCAAAACCAAGAACGTGCTAGAATCATGTGACTGACGCAAAAAAAGATTGGAAAAATAACTTCTCTTGAAATTTCCTATTTAGGAAAAGAGCAAAATCGAGCAAACAAAATTTCAAAAATAAGTGCCGATTTCCAAAAATAAATTTTGCAAAAATACTTTATCTGTTTTGATGTATTAAATGTTTTCATAACGTTATGAAAAAAATTTAGTGTGATTGAACAACTTTGCTCCAAGACTCTTGTAGACCAGTCATCCGGTATCATAGTAGTACATTCTGAATGGTAAAATGCATCTTAGATGGGGACCTTCTTATACAGATTATTTACCTAATGTACATGAAGTCATGTATTTCCTACATGGTCCCACATTTGATGTCTTTCTTGACACAGAACCCTTGTGATGACAAGCGCCATAAGGATATCTGGTCAAAAGAGAAGACATGTGACCGGCTTCCCAAGTTCCTTATTATTGGTCCTCAAAAAACTGGTAACATTTATTCCCCAATGGCATTTTTCATCTTGCTTAACAATTTGACATTCGTTATTCTGTGTAATAGCATTCTGTGGAAATACCATGCTAACAAATAATTTAAAAAAATAGATAGAAATCCTATACTCCTTGCCAAAACAACTCTTGAATTATTTTGTAGAACCCTTAGAGATCCTGGCCTTAAGATTACCATACTGAAATTTGGCCACAAAATACATACAGTAGTGGCCAAAATTGTGGAAACCTTTTGGGAAAAGTGTACAGTAGAAACGCCACCTTTAGTTAAGTTTCCACCAATTTTTCTTCTAATTTCTTTATAACTGTAGCCTTGTTCACTTCATAATACTATTTTACATTGCTTTCTGGCCAACCAGTCAACTCTTTGCACCATGACTTTAATTTTAATATGTTTTACAAGCTCACTAAATGAAAGAACACAAAAAAACCCAACCGACTTGATAGCGATCACATAACACACTGACCAATGTCCTCCTCTCAGCTTCAATACAGGACATCAATAACTGAATCCTACTGTGATCTGATTGGCTCATTGCCAAAACAAGATGACACCCGATTGGCTCTCTAAACACTCCTGCTCATTGGCTACAATCAGATGAAGGAAAGCTACCTGATATCAACCTAAGCAAGTTGTGCTTCCTTTTTCTGGTTATTTGGCTATCACTTTTCATAGAATACAGTACAGATAATTGAACAAACTATGTTGCATTACATTCTTGATTAAATTATCTTTCCATTGATATATAACTTTATGGTACTACTCCAAAAACAAAAGTGGTATTATTAGCCATCAAACCTCAAAAATACCCTTTTCCCAAAAGGTTTCCACAATTTTGGCCACTGCTGTAGAATAATAATGGCGAGATTTCCCATCAGTTTTCAGCAACAAGCTAAGAAATTAGTGGGGATATGCATAGACCCAATTTCTTGATAAGAATTGCCAGATAGATGTTCTGGAGGTTTAAACTGTAAACCAGTATTCTTCGCCACTCCAGTATATTGGAGAAGTGAGAAGAAATACAAGTTGCCCTTGACTTACAATCATTTATTTAGTTCAAAGTTATAATAGCACTGAAAAAAGTGTCTTAAGGTCAGTCCTCACGACTGTTGCAGCCTCCCCATGGTCACGTGATCAAAATTTGGGCACGTGGCATCTGGCATATATTTATGACAGTTGTACTGTCCTGAGGCTATGTGGATCATCATTTGTAATCTCAGCTGGCTTCCAATAAGCAAAATCAATGGGGGAAGCCAGATTTGCGTAACGACTGCAGGATTCACTTAACAACTGCAGTAATTCACAACTGTGGCAAAAAAGATCATAAAATGGAGTGCAACTCACTTAACAACTGCTTGCTTAGGACTGGAAATTTGGGGTTCAGTTGTTACCGTCAGTCAAGGTCTGTATTTGAAACTGGCAGTTATTGGTAGTTGAAGTAAACCCAACATAACCTTGATGAAGCTTTTGTTTTTCTCTTATTTCTCTGTTGCAGGCACAACCGCTGTGCATTTCTTTCTCTCCATGCACCCAGCTGTGACTAGCAATTTCCCAAGCCCATCCACCTTTGAAGAGATCCAGTTCTTTAATGGACCCAATTATCACAAAGGAATTGATTGGTATGTGGTTGGATTCCTGTTGAACTGCCTCCAAGAGCCTCTGGATTCTGCCTAGCTTGGACTTTCTAACCCTGGTCAAAAAGCTAGGCCAGTGATGGAGAAACTTTTAGAGCAGCGGTTCTCAACCTATGGGTCGCGACCCCATTTGGGGTCGATCGACCATTTCACGGGGGTCGCCAAGCAAGGCTGTCCGCCATTTTTTTTTCCCTTTTCTGGCGGGTGCCTTACCTCCCTTGAGCTGGGCCAGCTGGTGGTCAGCCTGCTCCATCTCTGCCGCTTGCCAGCTACGCCTCGGCCGGCACAGGGGGCGGAACCACGCATGCGCGGCACTCCCGGGCAGGGAAAGTCCTTGACTTACGACCGGTTGGGTAGTCCTCAACTTACGACCGGTTTAGTCCTCGACTTACGACCGGTTTAGTCCTTGACTTATGACCGGTTGGGGGTCGCGGCATTAAAAAGGTTGAGAACCACTGTTTTAGAGACTGAGTGCCCAAACTGCAACTCAAAACCCACTTATGCATCGTTGAGTGCCGGGTGGGTGTGGCCCATTGGCTGGGTGTGGCCCATTGGGTGGGCGTGGCTGCGGTGGTAATGGCAGACTGGGTGGGACTAAAAAGTTAAATCAATCAATCAATTCCAACTTTGCAAGATCTTTTATTTTCCCCCACAAGAAGTTGAAATTGATTGACTGAACTTTTTTTTTTTTCTTCACATGGCGGCAGAGGCCTAAAGTGAAAAGGTTTTATAAAACCCAGCTGAAGGCCTAGGACTGGGGCGACGGCGCACGTGCCCACAGAGAGGGCTCTGAGTGCCGCCTCTGGCACCCGTGCCATAGCTTCGCCACCACTGAGCTAGGTCAAGGTTCCCTGCACCCTGTTGCATTGCCATGGTTCTCCCTCGTACTAGCAGCTTATTCTTATTCTTGTTCCAGCTTTCAGCCAGTTATACAAAAGAATGTTAACTTCAAGTGTTATATAACACTGCTAACTTTTAATTAGTCCAAGACCTGCTTGTGTTGATCACTGGTTTGCCTTCATCATTTCTTTTTTTTAAAAAAATAAATAATAATTTTATTAAACTTTTATTAAATGAAAATGAAAATAGTGGGGAAATGGTGAAAGGAAAAGAGAAAAGAAAGAAGTGTAGGGGGAAAGGATGGAAAGAATGCCTTGATTTCTGATTCTTTTTATTGCAGTAGAATAAAATAATAACGTTGAATCCCCAGCTTTTTCCTCTGACATATTTAATATGTCCTAGCCATTTCTGTAACCACAAATTTATCTAATCAGCAAAGTTTCATTTTTTTTCCCATCTCAAGCACAAAAATTCAGAAGCGGCTTCCAAATACAAAGAAAGTTGGATTGTATTCTTTTCTTCGATTAGAGCAGTTAATTTAGCCAGCTGCATTTATCGTGTCATAAAGCAATGACTAGATTGGCGTTTCTCAACCTGGATGACTTTAAGAGGGGTGGATTTCAACTCCCAGAATTCCCCAGCCAAGTTGAGAAACACTGGACCAGACAAGGATGGTGTTTGTGTCATTGACGTTCCCCATAAGACAGACTTCATTGCATCCCAGGTTGAGTAAGAACATGGCGTATCCAGCGCAAGGGAGGCCAGAGACTCCTGCCAGAAAGATGCAGATATAATAACAACAATAATAATAAAGTTGGAAGGGACCTTGGAGGTCATCTAGTCCAACCCCCTGCTCAGGCAGGAAACCCTATACCATTTCGGACAAATGGCTGTCCAGTCTCTTCTTAAAAACTTCCAGTGTTGGAGCATTCACCGCTTCTGGAGGCAGGTTGTTCCACTGGTTAATTGCTCTAACTGTCAGGAAGTTTCTCCTTAGTTCTAGGTTGCTTCTCTCCTTGGTCAGTTTCCATCCGTTGCTTCTTGTCCTGCCTTCAGGCGCTTTGGAGAATAGCTTGACTCCCTCTTCTTTGGGGCAGCCCCTGAGATATTGGAACACTGCTATCATGTCCCCCCTCGTCTTTCTCTTCATTAAACTAGACCTACCCAATTCCAGCAGCCTTTCCTTATATGCTTTGCCCTCCAGTCCCCTAATCATCTTTGTTGCTCTTCTCTGCACTCTTTCTAGAGTCTCAACATCTTTTTTACACCGTGGTGACCAAAACTGGATGCAGTATTCCAAGTGTGGCCTTACTATTTATTTATTTATTTATTTATTAATTACATTTATATCCCGCCCTTCTCCTTGCGGACTCAGGGCGGCTGACAATTGGATAAAATACTAACATATTATACACCTAATTAAAATTTGATTAAAAAGAAATATTTAAATTTGTCAGATTAAAAGTAATTAAAACCCCTTTAAAATCCCTTAGGCCAGTCCCGCAAGCTGG